TTGTGCTTAGAGAAATAGCACGCTTAATTCCCTGACTGCACGGGGGTTGTTTTTGCACCAGTGGACTAGGAGTTGTCAAGCTCCTGGTACGCCGCTTAGGCCTTGCAAGCCATCCTGTCTCTGTTGCCATTCCTCACTTCTGCCTTTGCAGCGCGGAAGCAGCCGGGCACACGCATAAGCCAGTGGGTGCCACGACGCTTCAGGAAAACTGTGCTGATGGACGCTGGAGTCTGAACTGTCTGCAGTTCTCAGGTGTTCTGTGTCATTCCTCATCTTTTCACTTCTTCCCAAGCATTAAAAATATATATCAATGATTGTTAGCTCTCAGGCTGAACAAAAACAGGCCGCAGGCTGTATCCTGCCCTCCCTTGACCGGTACCATCCGGATGCAGGACGAGCCCTGTTTCAATAGGGCTCTTCCAGAACATTCATTGATCGTCGCCTGCCTACTAGATTCTAAGTCCTCTGAAGGTGAAGGTGGTGTTTTTATGCTATAGTTTTAACATTTAAACTTTATTTTTCGTGTTTTAAAATAATGATAGGCTTTTCTAAAAAAAAAAAAGTTAAAACACTATAAAATGAGAATTCCTTGTATTCCAAACATTCCTCACCCTCCCACTCTACTCCTCCCCTGCCCCAAATGCTCAAGCTAAAGAGATTAATTATGGTAACAGTTTGAGCTATATCCTCTCAGATCATTATTTTCTACTAATATAGTAACATCTATCATTTCTTTTTACAAAATTCTCGAATTTTTTTTACAAAATCACTCTCCATATTGTTTTAAACTTGCTTTATAATTCATTTGACACTTTTGCTGAACAAATTTTTACTGCGAAGCCATTATGTATCATGCATATGTTAGATAGAACCATATGAAAAGGCTGACGTTTAAATCATTGATAAAAATCTTTTTATTTTTAAATACTTTTAGACTCACATGAACTTGTAAAAATAGTGCGGAAAAGTCTACACCTTCCTCTAGCTTCCACCAGTGGTAAGATCTTACATAGCTGTGGGTTAATGGGTTTCTAACACCTATCTGCAAAGTTCCACCTCAAAGGTCAGTGTGGTATTGTTTTGGAGAAATGACACTTACTTAAGAGTTAACTCATGACTCAGGCATCTTCAAGAGTGTACAGTGATTAACACTTGATACATAGGATATTTCACAGTTAAAATTTTTACATTTGAAAAAATTTAGAAATTACTCAAAAGTGCTAAGAAGAAAAAATGTAATTGCCAATAATATTTCCCTGCAAAGTCATATGTATTTAGCCTTTGTTTCTTTTTAGTTTTCTTTGGGGAGTAGGAGGTATGCATGTATTCGTGTATCTATATTTTTAAGCTATTTATATACTCATTTTGTATTCTACGTATGGCCCTATATCATTTTAAATAACTCCTATGTAATGATTTTTCTCAGGTTAGTCAAATTGTAAAAAGGCATCTAGAAATAAGGTTAAAAAAGACATAGATCAGTTGGTGAAATACGGGCATTTTCAGATGACTAAACTCTGTGGCTCAGAGAGAGGAAACGTCTTGCCTAAGGTCACACAGCCAGGGAACTTTGTTTAAGATAAATGCTCAGTAATGGTAAATGCTCAGTAACGGAGGCTGAATGGTAGCCACAGAATGTTCCAAAGTCTCATGGCAAATTTTACAGAACTTTCAGTTTGACGGAGTGTGCATGCATACTGTGAACCCTGCGGGGGTGGGGGGAGGGGAAGACCCCTATTAAGAAGGGCTCCTGCTGGCTAACTGGGCTCAAATAAAAAAGCAGAGACGAACATGCATTTCTGCACCGGGGCCTCTAAGGCAAACCGCACTTTACCCAGAGGCCTCTGCAGTGAACTGCCTGCCAGAAAGGCGTTTCTACCAGCCCTTAGAAAGGAGGTCTTGAAGTCCTATTTAACCAATAGGATTGAGATTTCCCCCACCAATCAGAGCTATGCATCTCGGACCAATCACAGTGGCTCTATTCTGATCAATCAGAACAGTGCCTTTGGATAAATCAAACTGTGAGGATTCAGAATCCTTATTTGCATGTGGATGGACCAATCAGGGACCAGGGGCAGGGATTTCTGTCCATACAAGCCAGGGCTGCAGGAACGAAGTACTCCTGGTGGCTTTGAAACAAGAATGTATCCCCTCGCAGGTCTGGAGTCCAGAAGCCTGAAATCACGGTGTCAGCAGAGCCACGCTTTCTCTGAATGCTCCAGGAGCCTCTTTCCTCGCCGCCAGCTCCTGGTGCCCCAGGAGTCGTTGGTTCATGGCCGCATCACTCCAGCCTCTGCCTCTGTCTTTACATGGCTTCTCTGTGTCTTTCTGGGTCCGCTTCTCTTCTTATAAGGACACCAGCCATTGGATTCAGGACCTACTGAAATCTAGGATGGTTTCATCTCAAGATCCTTAGCTAATTACATCCGCAAAGACCCTATTTGTAAAGAAGGTCACAATCTGAAGTCCTAGGTGGACAGGATGCATGGGGAGGGGGGGTATTCAAACCATTACCGAATTTTCTCACAGAACAGAGTTTTTTCCCCTAGTTTTGGGAGGCTCCTGCCTTTGCCCGAAGCTGTTTCAGCCAGAGAGGTCAGTCCTTGGAATGGCAGGGCCAGGAACACACAGCCAGCAGATGCGAACACCAGTACGTGTGTCTGACCCACGGCCCCTAGCCCTTCGCATCACCACTTTTCACACGGAAGAAACATCATCAATTTGTACTTTTTGTTGCTATTTGATGGACAACACTGCGGTCTTTGTAGTGCTTCCCACTGAGGCTTTTGGCATTTTCTGAAGACGAATAAAAAGAAAAAGTGCTGTTTGATATCATTCAGCAGTGTTTGTGTTTGCAAGTTGTCTCCCCCATTAGACGATTGCAATTTAAAATACAGATTAGCACCGATGAAACTCACCCAGGCCGCCTTTTCCCTTTGATGGTTTCAATTCCAGGCTTATCCATCACAAATGATTGTAGTACAACAGGAGTTTGACAGAAAAGGGGTAGGAGTTTTGAATTCTTACCTGCAATTTCCAGCTCTAGGGGATAATAGCAGAGAGAAAAACAACAATAACTGAGTTGTAGGATATAAAAACATGCCGACCTCTCCCTTGGAGTTTTATGCTGCTAGGCATTCAACAAGTCACTTTCCCTTCCATAAGCTCTTGTATCACATAATGAGCCTTACAAAACTGATCACGTTTCTCCTTCTGCCTCACGAGGGAGGAAGTTTAGGGAAAATAATGCTCAGTTTCAGTAATTGTTAGCCTCGATATTTATACCGCTCAGGTCTTGTCTAGGTGTGCCTCGCGTTCTATCAGAAGGTTGTATCACACGTGTGATTTTGCATCTTTCCTGGACATTTTCTCCTGCCCTGGTCTCTGTCACTCTGTTCTCGTGCTCTGTCCATTTCTTCTGCTTTCTTCTTTGCTTCCTCTGCCCACCTTTTTAAGTGCTGGATTTCCCAGGATCATTGTTCTTCTCTGTCTAGACATGCATCCCTTGGATTTCTTCTTTTAAAAAATTTTTTATTGACCAATTGCTTTTGGTGGGGGGGAGACAGAGAGAGAGAGAGAGAGAGAGAGAGAGAGACATTAATTTGTTGTTCCACTTACCTAGTCATTCATTGGTCGATTCTTGTTTGTGCCCTGACCATGGATTGAACCCAACACCTTGGTGCATCGGGATGATGCTCCAACCAACTGAGCTACCTGGCCAGGACCAACCCTTGGATTTCTTATACACACTGAGTATTTTAATGGCTTCCTGGATCCTGATGACTCTGACATCAGTATCTCCAGCTCAACCTTGATTCAGATTCAAATCCATTTATGGAGCACCAAGTATGTGGCAGGAAATGTTGGGGGTCCCTTTTTGAGCAGGCAGAGAGGGACTGTGCCCTCATGGAGCTTCATTCTAATAGCTCTTGCTGAGCTACAAAGTTGGTCTATGTTCCTTTGCCTCTGCCACCTCTCAGGCTGCCTGTCACACAACTCTATCATTGCTACCCTTGGACTGTTAGGCTTAAGTAACCCTCTGGTCTCCCTTCTCTAATGTGCCATAAGTTTTGCGAGGCTGGGGCCATGCTGTGTTCATCTCAGCGTTCCTCACGCCTGCAGCAGTGCTTAGAACTTGGTAGATTCTCAGTATGCTTTCCTCATTGAACTCAACTATCAGTTCAATATAGATGACTCCATGGCTCATCCTAACCTCCACCTTCTCGAGGACACTTTCCTTGACCCTCCAGACAACCATCCTCATGATATGGCCTGTGATGTCTCATACTGTTTCTTCCTAGAATTTGGCATAATTATAATGACTTTTCTTTTTTTTTTTAAAGATTTTATTTATTGACTTTTAGAGAGAGAGAGGAAAGGAGGGAGAAAAAGAGGCAGAGAAACATTAATGTATGAGAGATACATCGATTGGTTGCCTCTCGCACACCAAATGGGGACCTGGCCTGCAACTCAGGCATGTGCCTGGGCTGGGAATCGAACCTGTGACCTTTTAGGTCACAGGCCAGCACTCAGTCCACTGAGCCACAACAGCCAGAGCTATAACTGTTTTTCAACTGTTCACATTATGTGTTTAAATTTGGTCTACTGCACTAAGTTGTAAATTCCACAGGTTCTGTAAGTGCTTGGCCTACCATAAATATTCAATAGATACATGCTAATTGATAGAGTGACAAGTTTTCCTGATGGATAAAAACCCTGAATGTATTGATGGAACCTACAGAAAACTTCGACCCAATTGTCTGCTGGCCTAATGCCTCGTTCAACCTGTCTATAAAATGGAGATATTCCTGTGGGATGATGTTGGATAGCAGATGAGCTTTGGGTAAAACCACATCGACACAAATGTTAATAAATAAATTGATATAGAAAGATTAAACACATCAACTGAACTTCCAGATAAGCTTTGAAATGCCTGTTTCAGAATGTGACATTTCATTCTCCCCCAGGAAATATAAACATTTCTTTTCTTTTTTTCCCAGGCTCTGAGACGACAACTTTTGTGCAAGTTAAAGTTGAACAAAAACAGGTAAACATTTTTTCTGAAGTATTTGAAATGTATGACTTAGATTGTTAAAATCTACAGTAGAGGGTGCAGAAAAGGACTAGGGAGAGCAGGTATACCTAAGGTGCAGAATGCACCGCAACTGTCCTGCAGTAGCTGAGGAATTCACAGACTTGGATTCTTGGCAGGAATAACATTAATATTATTACTTTTATACATGCAGATGCTTTGTAAAGGAAACGGAAAAATACAAAAACATGGAAAATCACAGTGTCCCTTCGGTGTGGCCTGGGGTGGGAGACATACTGCAGAATCAACACCTGCCTACAACATTCCTCTTGTTTCTGAGAGGACACTTCGTTAACATTTATTCTTACAAAAGTGATCCAAGCCATGTTACGGAAAAACCTTAGGCAGGGAAGACATCCAAAAGGAAAAGTGAAGGTCCCCTGTCCCTGCTTTGTTTTCTCCTCTCCTCTCTGTTCAGAGAGAGCGCGCCTCCCTGGCCTTGTGGCTGTGTTGGGGATGGGACAGGACTCGCCGCACGGCCAGGCAGTGGAAGCTGCGTAGCCCCCACGAGACCTACACGGAGCTTGCCACGCGGTGCTTCTCAAACAACAGGCTGTCAGGACACCTTCACACTTATAAAAATTAACACTGAGAAACCAAAACCAATATTTATTCATTTAAAAGTAAGATTAGCAAACCCATTACACATTAACATAGATAACATACATTTTATGGAAAACAACTACATTTTGCCAAATGAGAAAATTCTACTGAGAACAGTGGCAGTGTTTTCCATTCGCAAATCTCAATGTTCGGCTTAATGGGAGACAGAGAGGTTCTCGCATCAGCTTACGGGTTCCCTCATCAGAGAGAGGTACAGCAACTGCTCACACGGCATGTAACCTCTGGGAAACGCCACTGTACATCTCAGGAAAGAATGACAGCCAAGATGACAAATACTGTCTCAGGAAAACCACTGTAACCTCATGGGTCCCCTGGCCACACTTTGAGAACCCCTGCTGTGGAAAACGTGAACTGGAGTTGCGTGTTTTCTTCGGTGGGGTTGCCCCCCGTGGTCTGAGCCAGCCGGGAGAGGGGCTGCGCGGGCTGGGGAGAGCCTCGGGCACTGGGGCAGCGGCCGCAAAGTGACTCGATAGTACACAGCTCGCAGCACCATCGTTGTTCACTGTAGACCCCTGAGCCCCACAGCCTCTATGCCTGATGTCTGAGACCTAGGAAAATGTTGGGAACTGGGGACATGTTTCGGGTTTTCAGAAATTAAAAAAAAAATTTTATTTGTACGGTTGGCTTTGTTTTGGTCTTGAGACACACTGGGCAAAAGGCGGTGAGATGCAGTGAAGCTGCTGGCCCGTGGAGGGTATGGTTGGGATGGGAAACCCACGCGAGGATGACCTTCAGGAACAAGGGGCGCCATCGTCTTCCCTGTGTCTCCCCAGATAGGCCAGGTGGACGGCTCCCCTCTGCTGAAGATCATCGTTTCCTCCCTGGGACTTGCGCTGTCCGTGTGCGCACTGACCGTCGCGTTTCTCTTTCGAGGTGAGGCGGGTGAAGCCCTTTAGAGCTGCGGAGGCTCCAGGAGGATCTGGGAGTAGGCTGAGGTGGCTTCCTTCTCCTTTTCTCCATTCCCCAGGCTCCCATTTTTATCGTTGTCTCCATCCTGGTGGAGGAGGCAACAGGTAAACTCACTAACGTGCTAAAGGCTTCATGTAGCATCCTCCTGATAGAGTTATATTTTGAAAAAGAGAATAAAAATAAGAGTGTCTTCATTTACTGGACACTTATTCTGTGTCAGTCCTGATGCTGGACTGTTTTATTTATTGATTTGAGAGAGAACGAGGGGGGATGGAGGGGGGGGAAGGTAGGTAGGTAGGTAGATAGGTAGATAGACAAACAGATAGAAACATTGATTTGTTGATCCACTTAATTATGCATTCATTGGTTGATTTTTGTTTGTGCCCTGACCCGGGATTGAACCCACAACCTCGGCGTATCTGAAGGACAGTCTAACCAGCTGAGCCATCTGGCCAGGGCATTGATGCTAGCTAGACTCTTGATGAGGCTAACTCATTACGTCCTTATTATCGCCTTATGTGGACAGTGCTGTTATCATCAGTGTCTTGGGGTGGATGAAACACTGGCCCAGCCCCCTCCTCTGGCTGGTCTTGCTCTAGGAAGAAAGTCATGAATGATTCCTGGTCTTCTTATTTGTTCCCTTAAAGCAAGCTTTCTAACCTGTGGTCCACAGATGGAACTTGGGGGACAAGCGAATCCCTTGAAATCATGTACAAAAGTACTTATTTGTTCTTATCTGCATTTTTCAAGGGGCAAGGTCCATAGCTGTCATTAAATTCTCCAACTGGCCTGTGACCTTCACGCCGGTCCCCACTACAGAAAGGAGTCAGGAAATAGGGCTTAGAGTTTCCATGCAAAACATAGGCATGTGGCCTCTGGTCCTGTTTTTAAAAAGGGGGAAATTATTGTATAGGAACAGAAACTGTTTCAAGATGGCAAGTGAGGAGATAAGACTAGTAATCATCACAGCCTGTTTGAGCAACAGGGAAACTTGCTTAGTTTGAAACCTGTCCCTAGTGAACACTACAAAAGGAAATGTACAAAGGCATGTTCTGATTTCAGGTATTCTGGGTAAGTCTCATCAGGAAATGTTTTAAAACCCAAATGAGTACTTGAATTGTGGGTGGGCAAATGACTCAGGTATGAAGCAGCTTAAGAGCAGTGCCCACGACATGGGAACAATTTTGTCGCTCATAGGTGCTGCCTAGGGGCCTAAAGAAGTAGTCATTTGATCCAGGAAAAGGAATGGCTTTCCCAGCCAAAGCCAGTCCCCAAATTCTCACCTTTCGACTACTTTGGCTCCTCCTAAGGTAGCAGTGGGCTTCCGCCAGCATTTGAAATGCTCTAGCCAGCACTCTGCTTACACTGTGGCCTTGTCTTTTCAGGGAAAGTCATGAAAACCAACTGCTTCAACAAACACATAAGGTAATTCATCTTGCATGACTGATTGTTGTAATGATAGTACAAGGTGTTACAAATGATTAGATACTACTCAGTGGTTTAATGACTTGTGTTTGTGTTCTGATTAAATACAGGGTTGGAAAGATGTGACATTAGAGGTGAAAAAGAGGCGGGGATTTTGCTCACATTAACTTTTGTCTTGGTTAACACTGTGAGGTTTGTCCAAAATACACATGCAAAGACAGGTTGCATTAATGGAAGTATGACATGCAAAAGAAAGAAGGTGATACATACATGACTCTACTCTGTACTAGAATTTCTTCATTCAACTCTGGGCAACTTACTTTAAAAGGACATTGTTAAACTGGAGTTCATGGAGAGGGGAGTTGGCAGTATGAAAAATGAAAAAACATGTATCATTCCTGAGATACATGGTTTCTTTCCTCTGCCCAATTAGGCCTTAGGAGCTTTTTTTTTTTTTTTTTTTAAACAGTTTGGCAAGTCTCTAGAAAGGGATTGTGGGTATTTGTCCTGTTCTGTAACTTTTCGGGGAAGAAATAAAAAGATTTGATGTAAACTGTGATGAAGACCTTGTCTTCACTTTATAATCTCATCCATACCACAATGTTTTAGAGAGAGGAAGGGAGGGAGAAAGGAGGGAAGGTGGGAAGAAGTGGGGGAGGGGAGAGAGAGAGAAACAGAAACATCCGTTGGTTGCCTCCCCTATACGTCCAACTTGGGGATCAAAGCCGCAACCTAGACATGTGCCCCGACGAGGAATCAAAGCTGCAATCTTTTAGTACGCAGGATGACACTCCAACCAACTGAACCACCCAGCCAGAGTGGAGGGTTTTTTTGTTTGTTTTTGTAAATAAACACCTTTAATTTCTGATTTTATGTTTTGTAACAAACAACCTTCTACATCTCTCACTAGAATAGATTGACAAAAGCCCTGTATCTCCTGTGGGCTTCCCCAGCCTTGGTTCGTTGTGTTGCAATTTAGCAGTGCCATTTATTCCTGGTCTTGGCGGTTCCCCTTAGCAGCCTCTCTTCTCTTTGCAGGCTGGACAACGCTGGAGAGAGTAAGAGACACGTCCTCGACGATGACATACAGCATGGAAGAGAGGATGAAGAAGGTCTTTTCACACTATAACACGCCGCTCTTGCTTAGGGTGGAGGACGGGCAGGACAATGTGAATTGTCAAAATAAGCCTTAGAATGTTTGTTGTTGTTGTTGTTGTTTAAAACCCATCGATTCCATTGGTGTCACTGAGCTGGTCTGGCTTTAGTGAAGGTACTTCAGAGGCCACACCTCTGCCCAGGGCTTTAATCTCCTTGGTAGCATCACTGCTCAGTGATGATCTGTTGACAGGAGAGACCTGGTTCTTCTTGCTGATGCATGTAAAGAATTACACATCGGCAAATTGTCCTTCAGAAGAAAACAGAAGTCCGGAGCTCAGCCAGGCAGGCCTCTCCCAATTCCCAGCACCATCAGCTGTGTCGCCGCGATTTCCAGTTCCTAATCTAAACCCGTGTGGCACCTTCTCATGGCCCCCTAGCAAGAGTCCTTTCTCCCCTTTCTTTCCTGCATGGTCTTCGCATTGTTCTCCCAGGGCATGGGGCGAACCATCTCCGAGCTCTCCTGCAGGCGCGCTGTAAGCGGGGTGGGGGAGCTGCCTGCATGGCCGCTACACCTGGCTTCCCGGCTCCCCAATACCACGTGTTTAAAAGCCCCTGGCACGGCTGCTGCGCCTGTCCCAGCTCTGGCAGGAATCCTCCCCGGTAACCCCATCTCCAACGCTTTCGACTCCTTCAGCAGGGGAGGCAACCAAGGGAGCTGCTTGCCCAGTTATATCCTGGGTTAAAGTTATGCAAACCTGCCTGGTTAGCCTTGCTGATATGCAAAATAACCATCTTTGCTGACGAGGTCTGAAGCTATCCTGCTTTTATTGACATGCAAAATAACTCTTAATAGGCCTGCTCCCTGTCTCCCATCGCCCATGGCAGCCTGCCTTAGGGGGGGGTTAGAATATCCTATATTTTTCTTGGACACCCCAATTTCTGGGCCCCCCTGCTACAGATCTCCTGGGGGGGGTGGCTAGCTGCACCCTGCCACACTTCCACACTGTGCTTGAACACTTCCAGTGATGATGAGCTCACCACCACCTCTAGGGGAGTCCATTCCATCACAGAGCAGTGCTGAGACTTAGAAATAAATATGTAAAGCAAAGTCTGCCTCCAGGTAGCATGTGCCTACCAGTCCCAGCTGAACTCATGGGGCTCACACAGGAAGTGTCTAATTTCTGTTCTACCTGGTAGTGCTCCAGATACTCGAAGGAGAACCCCGTCTCTGTCAGTGACCTTGCCTCTGGGCCATCGTTTCTGGTCCCTTCCCTACTGTAGTTGCCTTTGCCTTGTATAAACTTGTATCTCTCCTTTTATGCTCACCTGTCAGAGTCGAGTCTCCCCCCACCCCCCGCCCCCATGTATGCTGTGAGCAGCCCTGGATCTATGCTCCATCATCACTGCAGGAAATGACGTGGACTCACACCATAATTTTGAGTCATCTCTAATACCTCTAGGTTTTCTATACCTTTCTGTTCACATTTGAGTTTCTTTAGAGGTGATCATGGTGTCACAACTTAATTTTTCCTTGGGGAAGTTAATTTCGGAAACAGCCAAGAGCCCATCGGAGCACAACGTGGCGAGTGGCGTGGTCAGCGCATGAGCCTAGGAGTAATGCAGCCCAGATTAGTTTCTTTAACTATGATTCAGGGAAATTTGTTCATCAATAGGGCCAGATTTATTTAAAACCTTTCATAGCTGGCAGCATGAAAAACCCAGGGAGAGAGAGAAAAGCAAAAGGTTGTTGAAAGAATGAACGGAAAGCATGTGTAGCTGAGTGAGGGAGGCCGCTGGTTGAGCAGGAACGTGGTAAGTCACCAGATCTGGAAGGGGTTTCCCTGATAATAACTTCCAGCTACGTTTAGGGCCATAGCAGCCATAAAGCGCACAGTCTTTCAAGGAAACCACGTTTTCTATTCTTACTCTCTTGACATTACTTTTAGGAGAGGAAAGACTCAGTCTCATTACTTCACTGATACAGCTTATAGACTCCTTGCATGGATCCAGCAGTTAATAAAAACCCCCTCTCCCCTGAGCGCTTGGAAAACAGCCTGCCCAGAGCGGTGCGCCTTCTGGCTCATTCTTTCGATGCTTAACAGAGTGTCAGACTTGGCTTAAGGGACGGAATCAACTAGCAGCATGTGGGTAGCTTCTTTCTCTTGGCTTGATTCGCTCTTCTCTATGTTAACCTGAGCTACTGGAAATGACTCACAGTTAGACACTGAGGGGCAAAGAGGATCTAGGGTCAGGCTCACAGCCTCAGTTTCCCCATCTGGAAATTGGGTTGGGTCTAGGTGACCTTGTAGAGTCAGGTTCTAGGATTTGTGAGTCTATGATACAGCCCCTCCTAATTTAGCTCATGCTTCCTGGGCACTTTCGTAAAGAGTCACCACCGTCAATGCTACCATTGACTCGGGTCTCACTAGGGAAAGATGGCAAACGCTTCCTGAACAGAACCTTTAAGCTCCCTAAGTATCTTTCTGTTTTGCAAGTGGGTAGTCGTGGTATCTTAGAACTGGTGATGGCCTGCAGGAGACTCTCCGGTTAGGTATCAATCTTAGCTGAACATTGCAATTAACCAGGCAGGTTTTTAAATGCGAATTCCAGAGTCCCATTCTTTAAGAGATCCTTTTGCAATGGTCTGGGATATGGCCTGAGCATCTGAATTTTTTTTAAAAACATGCCCCAAGTGGTATCGAAGTACAGCCAGGGCTCAGAGGTTATCAAACTATGCACTTCAGACCAGCGGCCTCAACATCATCTGGAACTTGTTAGACAAATTCTTGTCCCTACCCCAGACCTCCTGACCCAGAAACTCTTGGGGGTCAGGGGCGCCCAGCGATCTGCGTTTTAACGAGCCCTCCGGGTGACCGGATGTATGTTCAGGTTAGAGGACTACTGCACTGTAGTAATCCCTAGGGGACTGAGATTTCAGGGCAAGCCTCCCTCCCCTGGGGCTCTGGGGGTGGTTGTGGCCACCAGGAGGGGGCCGTGTCCCACAGCAGCTGGCAAGGGCAAGGTGGAGGGTGCAGGCGGAGACCTCAGGGCGCCGGTAGCCCTTTCGGCAGCCAGCTTCCTGATCCCGCTGGCCACCGCACGCTGTTCCCTCTCCACCCGCTCCTCCGCGCTGTTCCCAGGCATCTCCTCCAAAAGCAGATCTGAGACCCTGTCTCCTGACTCCCAACGCGGGGGGCGGGGGCAGAGAAGAAGTACCCCAGAAGCAGGCTGGGGTGACAAATGCCGATGAGTTCAGAGGCCAGTCAGCTGATGCAGATGAATGAGGTGATGGGAAGCAATGTGGCCAATGATGAAGTGCAGTGTGTATCCACTTCAAAGGCATTACCATTCATAGTTAAAATAATGTCCTAGGGAAGCAACACTTGGCTATGGTCCAGATTAGAACAAGGCAACCAGCCGGAGGCTCGAGGTCCAGGGGTGAGTTTGAGAGATGAATTAATAAATATTTAATTCTTATATGAGACACCTAGGTCAGAGGAGGTTGCTGATGCATTTGTTCCCTTTTCCCTCTCTGTGCTATCAGGATGAATCGGTAGCCAACTACTAACAACTTCCTAGTATCTAGTGTGTGGGGGTGGAAGTGGGAGTGGGGGAGGGGTCTCAGGAGAGAGACTTGCTTCACTTAAGGAGCTTAAAAATCTAAATGAGACAAAACAGACACGGGAAATGCAACAGAATGGAGATGTGGCTTGAACAGCTCCTGTTTACATGGTAGGCCCACAAACCTTGAGGATTTACGGCCACCTGCTTCGACAACCTTGACCTTAACCTTTCTAGGCTAAATGAAAGTTAACATCTAGTCCTTCAGTAGCATTCGCTATGTCCTGGGTACCTGTATGTGTTTCAAGGCAATTTCTCATTGAATCCTCACAACAGCCCAACGGACCGGCCATATTATTCTTGTTTTCAGAGATGAGAAAACAGAAACAGAGACAGATGAAGGAACTTGCCTGAGGTCACCTAAGTCCAACCCCCTGTGACAGAGCAGGAAGGAGCCCACACTCTGAAGGGCCCCAGAGAAAGACTTCATGCCCGCAGACCGGCAGGCTCAGCAGGCTCCCCAGGCTCCGCCCGCGTCAGTCCCCACTGGATTTTAGTTTACTCGGATGAGCGGCAGACGGAGTGTTTTCACGGTTTTCCATCCCCACCCCTTTAGAGTTCAATCTTCCCTTGTCTGCAAATTATTTACTCAGAATCGTATTTGCATTTGCGGGGGAGGCGGCAAGTGGAGGACCTGGCAGGCACGTTAATGAAGCCAGGTGGGACGCATTTAAACGGGAATGTGTTGAACTAGCTCCCGGAGAGCTGAAGCCAGCTGTCAGCAGGCTTAATGAAAGGTTAACAGGAAGGCGGCAATGGGTGGCTGGGGAGGCTCTTTGTCTCTCTAAAGAAAACAAAAAGTTGAGAAGTGGGCTCCCCCGGTGGAGGCACGAGCAGAAGGAGAAAGGCACTTGGAACCCAAAGACTGGGTCTGAAACAGACTTGCAGCTAGATTTGTAAACAAGTTACAGACTTTTTTAAAAAGGGGGAGGGGAAAGCACGCTGAGTTCTCAGCGAGCCCCCTGAGCATCACGGGACCGGGGAGGGGGGGCCCTGTTACCGGGTGAGACGAAGGCTAACGCTGTTAGGGAGCCGCGGGGGGAGCCCTGGAGACGCCCTCTCACAAGACAAGGTGGGTTCGCTTCTCCAGCCGAGCAGGAAAATCGGTGTTCTGCGGTTGCAGGCTCTGTCTGCGTTGCTATGGAGGGGCGGGGGAAGTAGGCAAGACCCTCACACCTCCTTCAATTCAAGCTTTTTTTTTTTTTTTTTTTTTCCTTTAAACTAGTGAGTCTGAGGTCCAGGCAGGGCGAATGAGTTACCGCAGGCGACGCAGGCAGCCGTTGCCAGAGCAGAGGCCTAATCCTCGTGCCTTAGACTTAGCTCTGCGGCCGGTGACTTGTTCCACTTCCACCTGGTCATGCCTGATTATTCACCCTCCTGAAGCCACGTCTAGGAGGTTCCCATTGGTACCTGCAACTCAGCGTTTGTTTTCCTTGAACCATCTTTTTCCAGCACAGCCTTGACCCCGTTGTGGACTTCACTCCCAGAAAGAGGAATTAGAACAGGGAAGTGCAAACCCTGGCTGTTCTGTTGCTTTTTAAAAACACACCACCGTAACTAGGGTGGGCACTTGGCCCAGTGTTAAAGCCCCAAGTCCCCTCCCGTGTTCTGCGGACTCCCTCAGTTCGGGGCCAACTGGGACGGTCGGTCGACATAAGTCCATAGCTAAACTAAATCAAAACCAACACCAACCACTAAATCAAAACAATGGATTGCATTGAGGGGGAGGGGGGGGCAGGTGTGTGTGTGTGTGTGTGTGTGTGTGTGTGTGTGTGTGTGTGTGAGAGAGAGAGAGAGAGAGAGAGAGAGAGACTTTGCAAATGGACTCAAGTGGAATTTAAT